CTAGTGAATATGATAGAATTAGTGCATGTGATTCTGCTAAGGAAATGTGGGATAAATTACAAGTGGCTCATGAAGGAACTAATGAAGTCAAGAAATCAAAAATTAACATGTTGGTTCAAAAATATGAGCTGTTCAAAATGAAATCAGATGAAGACATTAAAGACATGTTTACTCGTTTTACAAAAATCACTAATGAATTAAAGCTTTTTGATAGGGTGCTTCCTGAGGAAGATAAGGTCAGAAAAATTCTTCGCTCCTTGCCAAAATCCTGGAGTTCAATCAAGACGACAATAGAAGAAGCTCATGATTTAAGTGTCATGACTGTTGAGATGCTGCAAGGGAAGCTTCTTACACATGAAATAGCCATGAAAAATGATGAAAGTGATGATGATTCTTGGAAGAAGAAATCTGTAGCTTTCAAAAGCTCCTCCAAAGATGAAAGTGACAGTGATGAAGAGGATGATGAAGAATTTATAGTGCTTGCTCGAAAGTTTAAGAGTTTCCTAAGGAAAGACAAGCTAAATAATCAAGGACAACAAAAGAAAAACTACAAAAGTAGTAAAGGAAAGGGAGAAAACAATAAAAAGGATGAGATTATTTGCTACAAATGCAAGAAGGCTGGACATATGAAATCTGAGTGTCCAAACAATGATGAAAAGAGTCTAAAAGCCAAAAAGAAAAAGAAGGCAATGGTTGCCACGTGGAGCTGCAGTAAGGACTCATCTTCTAGTAAAGAAGTAAGTGACATGGAAGCTCATATTTGTCTCATGGCAAATGATGACACAAATGAGGTAAATTCCATTTCTTCTTCTATTTTTGATCATGCTAATGATGATGAAATGTCATATGAAGATTTGCAAGATGCATTTAGTGAATTATATGAGCAGACTAAACAAATTAGTGCAAAAAATGCATCTTTAAAAAGGGAAATTCTGTCACTTAGAAAAGAAAACAGTGATTTGAGAGAATCTTTAAGTAAGGAAATGATAATTAGTTGAAATATGGAAACTGACTTGGAAGAGTCAACAATTGCATTTAGAAATTACAAACAAAAGTTGATTGAAGAGCATGATAAGCTGGTAGATGAATTAAAAAGGAAAATAAGCCATCTTGAATGTTCTCTGAACAATTTTGTGAAAGGTAAAGGTAAGTTAGATAACAATTTAAATTCACAAAGATTTCCTCATAATAGAGCTGGACCTTCTTTTGAATTATCTAAGTCTTCCTCATCTAAATCTGCTGTTTTTATGAATTGTAATACTTTGCATTCTTATGACATAGTAGAAGCATCAAGTTCTAGAGATAATCATGTTCATTATGGTATCATTTGTCATTATTGTTTAAAAAGGGGACACTATATTCATCAATGCTATACTAGAAAGAATTTCTTTAAGATTAATTTAAAGTGGATTCCTAAGAAAATTTTTACTTGTTCGACTAACTTAAATAGACCCAAGAAAGTTTGGGTACCAAAATCAAGTGCTTAAGTTGTGTTTTCAAGGAAGTTTGAAGGAAAATTTGAAGAAAGAAAAATTATCTGGACAATGGGTGTTCTAGACATATGAGGAGACAAATCACAATTCTTGAACCTTGAGGCAATGGAAGTAGGAACAGTGATTTTTTATGACAATGCAAAAGGTCACATCAAAGGTATTGGCAAAGTAGGTAAGAATTTTGGTTTAGTTATAGAAAATGTTTGACTTTGATGCTATCTTGGTATTATCTTTTGTCTACCACTACTAAAATTTTGTCTTTTACCAACAATAAATCAACAACATGAGATTGTTTGTTGCTGAAAATAGGTATCAGCAACAAACCCCATGTCGCTGAAAGTGCTACAGTACAAAAATGTACATCCCACCCCTTGAAAATCTGCTCCACTTTCAGCAATATACTTCTTGTTGCTGAAAGTAACTTTCAGCAATATACTTCTTGTTGCTGAAAGTAACTTTCAGCAACATACTCCATCTTGCTGATATTTTTTGGTGAATTCTTTCCTATTCAATTGAACTCCACTTTTCAACAACGTGTTCCTTGTTGCTGATATTCACTTGCTGAAAGTGCCCCTTTTTTTTGGTAAAATATTTTTTTTTTTGTGAAAAAATGCCTCTTGTTACTACCATTTTCCCGATCACCTTGCATTTTCAGCAACAAGGGGCATGTTTCTCAAAGTGCCCCTTATTTATTTTTTTTTTGGTAAAATATATTTTTTTTGTGAAAAAAATGCCCCATGTTACTACCATTTTTCGGTCTCCTTACACTTTTACACTTTCAGCAACAAGGGGCATGTTGCTAAAAGGTCCCTTGTTTTTTTTTTTTTTGGGTGAAATATTTTTTTTGAAAAAAAAACCCCTTATTACTATCATTTTCCTATCACCTTGCACTTTCAGCAACA